GGAAATTGTTCAAAGAATCAGCCTTATTTGCCACTTTATGTTAAACCCCCTGTATTTTTATTTAATACTTTAAGAAAATATTAACAGCCTATTCACTTATTTATGAAATTTTCCATAATTTTACAAGCTTTATTTGTAGAAATTTTGATTTGAATATTTGCAAGTATGACATTCTTTAAAATTCTTTAAATTTATTTAGTTCATTGCGGTCTTCGTTTTTGTATTAAGAAAGCTTTTGTGTTCTAATATCTTAAATTATTATAAATATTTCAAGTTTTAAATTGTATCTAATAGACCGAATAATATATTTGTTGAATTTTTTAAATTACTTTTGTTGTATGTAGAAGCAAAGGACAAATAATCCAACATAGTTTTTAATTATAGCGCGTCATATTACTGCTGATAAATAAGAAATAGATAAAGAGCTTAAATGCTCCTTTATTTTTCAATCAGTTTTTGATTTCTTAGCAGAGATTACGAATTTTAGGTGTTTTCAATATCAATTTTTAAATATTGGACAACGTTGTCTATACTTATTCATGGTTTCCAATTTAAAGCAAAATTGTATATTATTAGAAGCAATTCATTTTAGTGAGCTGAAAATTCTTCAAAAACAATGGGTGTATCATATTGCTCTAGGGCTTTATTATAACACTTACATTCCACATCTCACTTATTTTATTATATAATACAATTAGACACTACATCTCACTATTACTATACCTTTCCCTATTAAAGAACAACTAAGTTTTTTTCATCTTAAAGTGGACATGAAGAAACAGAAAAAATTTCACTTCAACTTAAACATTGCAAATCATTATGCTAAACTTTATATAAATAAGAATAAAATATTCTTCAATTGATTTTGTATTTTAAACATTTAAGTATATACATGTATGTACATATATTGAAAATTATTAAGAGATATGTATATAAAAATAAAGTCGGAATATAAGAATAAGATATTTTAATGCCATTTTATCTTTTTTTATTGTATATTGTATAATATTCTCTTAACATTGGAAGAAAATTAGTTAAATGTGTAGGAAATGAAATAGATATTATGTAATATTATGTAAATGCACATCTGCATAAACATACATATATGTACATATATTTATATTTTCTTATATTACACACTAGATTTGATTTTCCATTTGTTATAACAACAAAGAAAACACAACGTATCTATTGAAGAAAAGTACAATCACCATTATTGTGTATAATACGTATGATAGCCTTCATTTTGATAAACGTGTCTTCCAAAAAAAAACACATATTGTAAAGATATAATAGAAAAAAAAATAAGTAAATGATTTTGCTGCTTTTTGGAAAATCTTATTTTAATATCCAAAAAAAAAAAAAATGTACAAGAAAAAAATTTTTATATTACAAAAATACCCAGCTTTACTCTAGAATTTTTCATTTTTCACAAACAAAAAATTTATTTTTTTCTTATTATTATGCACTTTTTGCATAATATTTTCTATATGTGCATATTAAAAAATACTTTTTATACCCGTACGAATGTATGTTCGAAGGGCATTATAAATTTGTCTTACCGTTTGTAACGCAAACGCCTAGTTTGTAACGTATAGTGCAGTGTCGAATTCTGAGTCGATTTGAACATATTTTTCGTGTCTGTCCTTCCTTCCGTCCGTCCCAACTATAACTCAAAAATGAATTGAGCTAAGCTTATCAAATTTTCACAAATGATTTTTAATAGTAAGTGTCAGAACCATATTAAAATTGGATGTGATGGAGACAGTACAAAAATTGTTCAGAAATTTCAGTTAGATTCAGAAATTATCTAAGAAATTATCGAAGCTATATTTTTGAAATTTCGGGCGAGCAAATATATTATAGGGGCTGTTATATGTATAAAAATCGTTGAAATTTCTTGACTCAATGTGATAGTTCCCATACAACTTAAATAGATATAGAAACTAGTTCAAGTATATTTGCCACCAACTTTGTAATCGTTTGTAAAACAAAACCAGCGCAATTAAAGTCATAGTCAGTCCCACAACTAGCTATAACATATTTGTTCGCCCATTGAATGATAAGTACGCATATCCTAGAGATGACATTATGAATTCTACTTTTTTTCGTTTGTTTTTTTTATTATTTAAGTTTATATTTGCATTTATGTTTTTTTTTTTTTTTGGGATAATGCACCAGGATCGTTATATTTTGAGATTTAGCTTTTTTTTTTTTTTTTGTAAAAAAAAAATGTTTAGAAAAAGAGGATAATCTGGAATATATAGGAAAAATAAGAGATAAAAAAAAAATGGGAACAATGGAAAAATAAAATAAAAATGGAACAAATTTTTTTCTTATTTTTTTTTCTTGTTGTTTCATTTACTCTTTTTTTTTGTGTTGTTCATGTATTACGGAACATAGAAAACGTTTCCGATTTATGTATGCTCTTCTTTTGAATTTTATTATTTTTCAATAAATTTGTGGGTATTCTTAAATCTCAATTACAATATTTTCGAAATCAATTTCAATAAATCAATTATTTTTATAAAATTTTATTTTAATAAAAATTTAAAATCTAATTAAGAGTGCAGTATTTCATAAAACAAGTGAGATATAGTAATTACACAAAGCTTTTTTGCTTCACAATTACACAAAAGCTTCTTTACTGTCTGTGAACCGATCAATGAATCTTAGTTTCAATTGGATTAATTTTGAAGTTGAATTTAATGAACTTGAATTTCATTACTTGAATATAATGAATTAGCTATAAGCTTTAAATATATTGCGCTATTCAGTGAAAATTTTTCTTGAATTATTATTGTATTTGAACTCTGGTTCTTGGAGTACTTAATTAAATATTTTTGCGAGAAAAATAAATACTTGGATAATCAAAATTTATAAAGGGTCGATTTCATATACATCTTCAAACATATTCAAGTAAATAATCAATGGTATAATCTAATCACTTAAAGTTTGATATTATAAAATATTGTTTGGCAAGAAAATTATACTCGTAATTAACAGTTGTTCAATTATAGAAATAATGAGAATTTATTAGAACATTAGTTTTTGGAAAATATTATTCGGAAAGCATTATACGGATTTTGAAAGGATTTTGTTGTATTTTTTGTGATATATTAAAAGCCTATGTGTATTAATATATTTTCAATTCTATAATTTAAAATATAAATTGGAATGCACTTGTCAAATTTGTCCCTCCTCTTGCCATTGAGTCTTATTCCTATATGATTCAAAATATTAATTTTAAAATCTTTTATATAAGTACAAGAGATTCAAAGCAAATAGATTTTTACTACTTAACAGCAAATAAAAAATTTTTATTAAAGAATCTGGCGAAACTAAATTTTATATTGTCCACTATATTGTGTATACATAAGCACTGGTCTTATTTACTTTTAAAAATATATTCTTAAGCTAAAGTTCTATTTTATTTAAATAATATGTTTTTTTTTTTGTAATATTTAAAATTGTAAAACACACAAAATTTGATATTTTATACGAGTAGTGTATAACAGTAAAAGAGATTTCATTCAATAAGAATGCAAATTCTATTGTTATGCTAAATAAATGTATATATACGCTTGGTTATACATTTATACAGTAAAATAAAAGAGCAATGAGCGGACCATTAACAATAAAGTGAAATTGTACATTTATGGTACAATTTTTTTTTTTTTTTTTGGGTAAAAGAAAGAATAGAAATTAAAAAAAAAAATAGTTTACGATTTAGTTGTTCTTTTTATTTTTTGTGAAGTAAACCTTCATCAGGCTTTTAATATCAGGATATCATCTAATATTTTTAAAAGAATATAATAAAGGATAAAAGATAAGAACAAGAGAAAAAAAAAGTGTCCATCAGCCAAAAATTTTAAGTTTTGTTTTTTTTTTTTTTTTTATTTTATTTTTAATTTTTGTTTTGATTTTTTAAATAATTTTCCATTTAGATTTTTTTTTTATATTTTTTCATTTCTATGACCATGTCTGAGTTTTATTTGCTTTCAATGTTGAAAAAGAAAAAAATTTATTTACATAAACGTTATATAATGATTTTATAATGGGACCACTTTTGAAGACCTTATAATATAAAAATGAATAAATGGAATGGTATGATGATTTATTGTTAAATATAAAATTTTAAAATAATAAATTCGGCATTATAATTAGTTCATCAAATATATCTTATGACTTATGAGTTCACTATATAAGAACAATGACATTACTTTAAGAGTTTTTATTATTCGGACAAACTAAAATGAAAATAAGTAAAAACGTTTCAGTTGGTTTTCAACTGATTATATACCTTGCACCTTTCATTGTTGCGTAGCAATGAATCGAATCTGTGAAAGCATTCTATAGAAACTTTAGGGATATGTGAAGATATTAACCCATGATTGCTGCCAAACTTCAATATTTAAATTTAGCTTTTGCAATTCTGTAGCATTTACCTGAATAAATGCAGTCACTTCTTTGAAATTTTTGGAATATATGTAAAATGAACCTTATAAAATTTGATACTAATATCTTTATTCATTTTTGAAATATTTAAAATATCCTCATTGAGTTGAATTGCAACTACTCGAACCCGTTGTTCGAATTGGTCCAATTGCAATAGCAGCCGTCCTTGGCAAAACAGAAACAACTTGTGAAAATTTGGTGTCGATTGTGTTATTCTTTTTTGAGTTACTGCGAGTGATGGACGGACGAAAGGACGAATATGTCTAAATCAAAATAGAATTTTACCATGCCAAATGTTAATATACCCTTCACGAAGGTATAATCATTAAATAAATAAGTATAAATTTTTGAAATCATAACAAATTTTCTAACAAAATCAACTCTTTAAACGTCTGCAATTGCTTATATTATTCTTTTATATTCAAAATATTATTAAAAATGATTACTGGAGCACATTCCAAAAAAATTAAATTAATATATAAAAATAATATGACTTGTTAATTAAAAAACAAAAAAAAAAAAACATTTATATTTATACTAACCTTATGTGAACCAACAGCATGGGCACCATCATAAACATATAAATGATCATTACAATCCAATTGTAATAAATCAAATCGTAACATAAAACGTTGTAATATTGAATGCGTTTGAAATGTAATCATGCAATCTAAATTCCTTTCATTTTGGGATAATAATACAGCTCCATCAATTTTACGATATAATTGTTGAAGAAAATGATTTTTACATAATGATGACATCACATCTATAAATATATAAAAATAATTATTATATATATTGGTATATGTATGTATGTATGTGTTAATATAATAATTTTTGGTATAGATAATAAAATATTTTCATTAATACTGATCTTCCTCCTCAATTGAACTCTAGTCAGTTCTCCTCATAAAAATTCGTCAATCTCCATTATTGCCTCTTATAGGTCGCAAGACTAAAAATGTTGTCGAGGAGGTTGGCACTACATATACGTACTCTATTGATTTAGGGATTGGGTGATTTACGATAATATGAAACTGTACTCGAGCTACTTGCATGATGCGGCCTATAACGTGCACCATGACGGAAAGATTAAATTAAGCATTAAAATATTTATTGAGAGTGAGAGCTTAACTTCAGACTACGAAGCTTTGTTTAAGATTTTTAGAAGATATCACCTAATCCTTCATGTGGATCCTGGTATAGTGGATAAGAATTTGGCAAAGTATCGTAGCCACATGAAGAGTAAGTGGTGGTTAAATTTTGTGGTGCCTCAAATGGGATATCAAATATTTGAGATGAATGAATTAATTTATTATTAGAATGTTAGTGGACTTACAACTAAAATAGGTGTAGTCCTTACCAGCTCTGCCATCATGGACTGCAACTTTTTCACATTGTCGGAAAATTGATAAATCCCATAATTTTGACACTCTTTGATTGAAAATTTTCAGAAATCAAAATCGATTTTAGTGTTCTTTTGGATTGTTTATTGAACAATTCTGCCGAAATAATTCACTACAAATAGTATTCAATTCAAATTTTTTTTGACATTTTACAATTTGATTTTAAATTTAATAATTTTATTAAAACAAATTTAATAATTTAATTTTTATACAAAAAATATTTATTTAAATTTCGATTATAGCTAATTTTTTTTTTAAATAATTTTTAAAATAGCTATGTGTGTCTATGCATGTCTAATTATTAATTGCTAATTATAGGAACAGAGTAATTAATTCAAAAATTTCCTGATGATTTCTTGAAGTATTTAATTCAAAATTAAATTGAAATTTGAATTTTCATTAAAAATAATAATTTATCTTCTAAATTTATTACATGGCATTGCATCATATTGTCCTCGTAATGTTATAGGTAAAATGGAATTTTTAATATAATCGGGTAATGGATATACAGCCGGTTGTGATTCAATAACCCAATGTTTTGGTTGTTCACAATAAATTGTATTTGGACTTTTAATTTCACCATGTTTTGGGGTAGCTCTTTGAAAAAAACTTATTGGCTGTAATTTGTTATATGGATCACGATACCAATCACGTTGATCTTGACATAATAAATAAAATGTATTAATTTCATTAATTCGACCATAATCAATACAATTTAAGCCAGGCATTAGAAAATTATTTGCTTTACGTCTTTGTTTTCTTGAATTTTTCGATACCAATAGCATATTTACTTGTGGAAATTGTGGTGTTATTTTCATTATTATTCTTTATTATATAAGAAGGATTAAAATATTATTATTATTATTTTTCGTTTTTGTTTTACAAATTCCAATTAAAATAATTTATTGACTTACAAAAGAAAAATGAAAGAAATTAAGCAAAAAAAAAAAAATTGAAATTAATAAAAAGTTTTTTTGAATCAAAAAAAGAGAAGAGAAATTTTTTTTTGTTTTTTGAAAGAAAAATTATTTATTTTTAAATTTTTTTCTGACTTTTATTTTTTGTAAAAAAATTATTTTTAAAACAAAATTTACTTTGTTCTAAAAAAAAAACAAAATAAAGGGAAAGAATTAATAACGCAATAAAGCAACATAACAAATGAGAAGTTAATTTTTCTTTTATCCTGAAAATATGCAATTATTTACGTTCTTATTTCAATTTTGTTTTTGAATTAAAATTTTATTTAAATTGTTCTCGTGAATAGCCTTCGAGGTGAATATTTTCTTTACGAATTTTATTTTCAACTTTTGAACCGGGAAAAAAATTGAATTCATTTCAAATTCTTTAATATTCTTTTAATAATATTCAAAATTATATTAATACTTTTAGGCATATTTTCTATAAAATATGTTTTTCTTATCTCATTCCAATTAATTTAATTTTTCTAAAAAACAAAAGATTCCATAAAATTTTTTTCATTCTTTGATTTCTATAATAAAAATAGAAGAAATAATATTGGTATTTAATAAGGAATTTGTTCACTTTCGCCCACTAGATTAGTACTGATTCACTACGGAATCTTGGATGGTGTAGGGATCAGGTGAAAAAAGATAAATTGAAAAAATAACAAATTATTAGAATTTTTTTTAACCCTTTCTTTGTTTTAAATCTTTTCATAACAAATTCTTTTATTTTTCTTTTTATATTTTTGGTCCCGAAATATGACAAATTTTTTCTATAAAGAAAAAATCAGTTTATTAGCTATTAAAATTTATTTTATATTATAAATTTTTCAATATATTTTATGAAAGTTGTCATAAAGTTAAGTGGTTATATTGTTTTTTTTTTTCTTTAAGTTTTCTTCTTACTGTTTTTCTTATTAAAAAGTTTTATTGATAAAGGAAATTTTTTTTACTAAAGAGTTAAAAAACCTATAAAAAACAGAGATAAGTATTGATAAATTTTATGAAATATTTAATTTATGGTTACGTTTAAGGTTAATAAAAAATTCAAAATTATGTCGTCTATATTATGTGGATTTCAATTTAAATTTTTATATTTATAGTTACATATAGATTTTAGATTTTAAGTAGACAAAATTTTTTTTCTTTAAATATTTTAAGTATAAATAATTTTAAGTCTGAAAATTGCCATTTTAAGTCTTAATGTCTAAGGAAAAATTTGATAAATTTTTGTTAAAAGAGATCTTCAGAAATTTTGAAATAAGAAAAAAAATTTTTATTGATTTCCATTGTCTGAATTTCTCTAGACTGACCCAAAATATTTTTTTAGATGTTTAAAATTTAGCAAATAGGATATAATGCTCAGCATTTCATTATTTCTATCACAAAAACTCATATTGTATACTACTTAAAATTTAGTTTATATTTACCATTTCTATACTGTTTTCAACTGTTATGCCATTAAATTGCAAAATGTACTCCAAAATATACCAGAACTTTGCAATTCTTTTTAATGCTTAAGGTATTAAGTTGTTTTTGTTTTAAATTATTTTCACATTTTGTTGAATATCAATGAAATTTGCAATATTGTAATTGGGTTTTTGAATGCGTAAAAGTATGGTTCTTTTTATTAGTCTCAATTCTAATTTGTTGCTAAATATTTATATCAGGTTATTTTCTGTGTTTAAAATATATCCGATGAAATATCACTTGTACAAACTGGGCAAATCGGACTACCTTTTCTGTAGGTTCTGCGGGAGTGATAAGGAGACGGCCATACATATTCTGTATGGCTATCTTCCTCTGACCCCCAAGTGTAAATAGTATAGGCGAGGCTCTCTCAGTGTTGTGGAGCTCGCGTTCAACTCCCTGAGAGATATATCCGGGTATTTGCTTATGGGATGGGAGTAGTGTAAGTGCGATATGGGAGGGCTACAATAAGACATGACTGGCTGTGGTAGTTAGAAGAAGGAAATTCCTACGCCCATATCTCTCTTCAACAAAAAAAAGATCGAAAATATTCTTATATGAATTTTTGCTTAAAAATCTTTAGTATCATTGTTTTTTGTCTGCATTACAGGATTTACTGTAGTTATAATAATGATAATAAGTATGTATTAAGATTATGAAAGTAGAATATATGATGTCTTAAAAAGAAAAGTTAGAATAAGACTATACTAAAAGATAATAAATTATAATAGTATATAAGAATTGCAGTATGATAGAATTTTCTCATCGTTTATTAAGTAAAAATTTTAATAAAATTTTTGTGAATGAGGTTTTGTATACGCTCCTCTTCAAATGAATAAAGGGCAAAAATTTAAATTTAGTTTTTGCTTTAACAAAAACAATTTAAATCACTAATTTTATAACATTAAAATTTATATTTAAAAATATGTTAAAGAATCATCAAAAACCACAAAATGTAAATTTTTCAAATATTTTGACAATTGGAGGAATTAATTGCCTTACAGTTAATATTGTTCTAAAATTTAAAATAATTTTGAGCTTTGTTTTAATTAGAAACTTGTAAAAATAAGAAGTAGACAACAATAATATTCATTCATAATGTTTATTAATCGTGCAATTAATTTCAAAAATCTCTCAACATTAAAGTCAAATTCATTGTTATATTTTATTTTGAAATATAGATACAAGTATATATATATATATGAATATATTCTTTCAAAATTTTTTATATACTTCCGAAAATTACCATTGTTTGTTAACTTTTCATATAAATAAATTAATTATTTTCAATTTAATAAATTTCTTGTATAACCTGTAAATTTTTAAGTATATATATATACATACATAATATGTAGGTATTGTTAAGCAGACATTTACATCAATTTATTTGTAATTTATTTAATTAGTGAGGTAAATTTTGATTAATTTTTTTTTTTGTAAACAAAATTTTAGAAGAGTCCTTTTTAACTTTTCTAAAATTTGTTATAAAATTTCTATAATTTTTTATTAATGTAAAAATTAAAATTTGTGACTTTGCTATTTTTCTTTTTCTATTTTGTTTTAGTACATTGTGTTCATTTTTTATGATTTAGATAAATTTTAATAAATTTTGGAAAGGATTTTTATTTTAAATTTTAATACCTTTAATAAGTGTGTTTTTGTGTTTACAAAGTATTTTCAATAAAACAACAAGGATAATTTTTATATTTAATTTTTTATTGTTTTTGATGCGGGTATACGTCTGAGGTTACAAAAATTCTTGTCGATTTTGAAAAATATATTTTTTATGAAATGCCTTTTTTTTTTAAATAAAGTGAAAAAAATTTAAGTGCTTTAATTATTTCCAAGTTCTTTTGCGTTTGCTTAACGTTTAATATTAAATGATTTTGTTGTATGCCAGTAGCAACGGTACTGCGCTTCTTGACTGATTGGGAGAAACAGTCAAAGGTCGATAATTGAGACAATTACCCAGCCCTATCTCATTCCAAGAAATGTATGTCGTATTTGAACGTGGGGGGGGGAGGGAGGGGGCTGGGATTTAGCCATACTCGTTCCTCCAGGTTTGAGGTATTTGGGGGGCGTACTTACTGGACACTGCCTATCGATTATCCACCTCAAAAGTATGGTTAAGATCAAGAATGAAATCTGTCATCTTTGTCTACAAGAGGATGAATCGATGAAGCATTTATTATATCAATGCGAACCGGTGGCTCACGTGTGATTGAGATACTTAGGAAGGAGTTTTGTGACTTCGATAGAGGTCCCGCAACTAAAGATGACTCCTATACTGTCAATATTTTTCAGTGGCCTGGATACAGTCTTGATGAAGGTAGGGATGAGAATTACCAAGGATTCTTTGGGTCGACGTAAGAAGAAATGAGAAAATCTGTTCCATTTCTTATTTATTCTGTAAAATAAATTTCTACTACAGTTCTTTATCAAGATTAATTTAACAACAAAGTATAACTATACCCTACCAAACATTTATACCATAAAAAAAACCAAGAGAAATTAAATTCTTGCAACAAGTTCTCTTTTCTTTAAATACAAATTTTTTAATATACATATTTGTTTTTGTGTTTTCAATTCATAAAATTTCGTAATTTGAACTGAAAACCCAATTCAATCACAAAAAACAATAATAAGAATTAGAATAATTCATAATTTTAAATCTGATTTCCTTCTCTTACTTTTATTTAACCAAGAAACATAAATACACAAATAATTCTTTATTCTTTTTGTTTGCTTCACTTTGTTTTGTTTTATTTATTATGTTATTTTATTCTTATTATTATTATTTTTTTTTGTTATTTTACTCCTTGTTGAAAGTTTCAAGAAAAAAAAAATGCCTATTCCTTCGAGTATTCTATTAATTTTTTTTTTCTACCCAAATGTATATTTTCAATATATGTATATACATACATATACATGTATACATTTACAACAATAATAAATGATTTTATTATACCGTTATCATTGTATTTAAATCCTTAAAAGTATAAGAAAACAAAAGAAACAGAACAAAATAAAAATTAAAAATAAGAAATTTAATTTTTTTTTATGAATAATCTATAAATAAACATTTAATATTTTAAGTATATGACGTATTATATATATATATATATATATATATATACGTGTATATATACGTATATATTAATTGTATTCAGTTTTGTTTTTTTTTTCATAATTTTACTAGGATGCAAGAAAATGTATGAGGAGATTTGTAAGAGAAATTAAATTTGCCAAAAATTTTTCAACATCAATTTAATATTTGTGTAATTGCATGTGTTACACAGTAGAAAAAAAAATTTCAAATTAAATTTGTAATTCAAATTTCTAATACAAAAAAATTAATGAATATCATTTAAAAATATTTAAATATT